TTTAAGTAAAAAAAATAAACTTAATTTTACAGCAAATGCATACCATAACCTTTCTTTAAGTAAAAAAGTTACTCGAATTGTTTCCATGGGATTAATGCTTATTGTACAGCATGATATTCTAGTTTGCAAAAAACTAATGCTAGAAAATTGTGATGCAACAGAATTGGAATGTTCATTTTTTTTGAAAAGAATTTCTTGATTATTTTGTGTGATAAATACACTCTTACACTGGCTTCCAATGGATGCTTGGGAGGCTGGTAATACTCATTCTGGAGGTGGAAACTGTTACATGTATAATATGGCCCAGGTGGTTCTTGAACAAAGAGGAGCAGAATTTAGTACAGTCTGGGGGAAAAATTCTCAATTTTAAAGCTTTGCTTTTCACAGTTAGAAATGATTAGTTAAGACTTACAGTCAGAGCATGTTAGTGGGCTGGAAGCTATTGGGCTCTGTTTTTTAGCAACACGTAATTTGAAAATTAAAAGGATCTTGTTCATTTTCGTTTAGGTAGCAGTTTTGCAAATTAAATTGTTTAAGATGAAAGTGTGTGAGTAAGCATTAGGCCTTCTTTTTAATCCAATTGTGGTTTCCAAATTCACTTTTAATATACAAAGAAGCTGGAAATTAGCCTGATACCTAATGGGGCAGAAAACTACTTATCTCGATGAGAAGAAGGGGGCTGGCGAAGCTGCCCAGTTTTACATTTAAACAATGACCGCGGATGGCTTCCTGCAGGGATTACTCTGGCGTGGCTGCTGTGGCGGCTTGGCTGTCCCCCGCCGCTGGGCCCTTTTCCCCGCCGGAAGACCGACTCCCGAGCGCCCTCGCAAGGGCCCAGGACCTTGCTGTCCTCTGCAGGAGCTTTCCTGCTTCCCATCATTAACTTCCACTTCACAGATACCCTCCAGCCTGGAACCAAGTATTGGAAATCAGAGCTTCAGCTCCCGATGGCTTTTCATTTTCTAAAAATTTCTGATTAAACTGTATTAATGGTACACAAGAACGGGTTCAGTGGAACGCTTTGAAACACCCTGGTTCCATTGCTGTGGGCCTGAGGAGAGGCAGAGGCATCCTGGTGGCGGAGGAAAGGCGCCCATGCCAGGAAGCAGAGGAAGGGAGAGAGCCAGAGAGGGGGAAGAGGCCGGGCACAGGCATCCATAGGCACCACTTCCTGCGACTGGACATTATCACAGTGTCTCTGTCTCTTCGGCTCTGAACCCGTCAATGGATCCAGTCACCTCCTAGGCCGCACCCTTAACGCTGCTGGCTTAGGGTTTTGCCCTCCATACACAAGTCTCTGGAGGACACTTCCTGTCTAACCACGACTTTCTGCCATCCCCGGGGTTGTGCGGGATACACGGGCTCTCAGAAATGGTCACTCCAGGACCAAGTGGGGCGGGAACAATGACCCCAGGTCCCATCAATCCACACACTGAGCTGCCCCACACTCCAGTGCGATGGAAACCAGGGTTTCGCTTGCAGAGAAGTGGAACCAGGGGAAGCCTGGCCTTAGGGTTCTAGGCACAGGGACCCAGCAATGAAGGACTAACCCGAGAGTGAGTGGATGGTGAGCTGTGTTCCAGCCAATGAGGACCCAAGCTGCAGCCCAGCTGGGCTCTGGGGATGGGCACAGAGAGGCGTTTTCAGTCCGAAGGAAACGACAGGAAGAAAAGGCACTGCAGAATGAGCTTTCACAACAGTAAGGAAGAACAGGTTTGTTTGTTTGCAGTGCTGGAGACGAAACCAAGGCCCTGCACACACCAGGCAAGCGCTCTACCCCTCAGCCACTGCCTCAGCCCAGGAACAGCTCCTGCACTCCTTACAGTGAAAGAAGATCAGGAATCAGGGCAGCAGCTGACTTTGCCACAACAAACAAACCAGCAGTGTCATTAAAATGCAGTGGGAAGTGCATCCTCCCCACTGTGACCTCCAGGACATGGCACTGCAGTCAGAACCTGCACCCCCAAACCCATAGGGAGCACTCTCAGGATGCGGGGACTGGGGAGGTGATTAGGTGGCCAGAGTATCACCCACTGTGAGGGCCTAGGGGGTCCTCTCGCCCCTCCCACAAGGTGAAAACCCAACCCAGCAGTGCCACCTAGAGATCCAACAGTGGCCTGCACCAGACACAGCGTCTGTCGGGACTTTCCTCCAGGCTCCAGAGGAGAGCAGTCAGTTCTGCCTTTGACAGCATTTTGTTATAGTGTCCGGAGCAGACTAAGACATCTGGACAACTGCTGGTCAGTTTTGGAAGTGATCTATATGACCACCAACAGAGAAATGGATAAAGAAAATATGGCATTTTTATGCAGCGTGGTCCTATTGAGCCACAGAGCAAACACTGGAGACATCTATAGGAAAATGGAGGCACCTTGAGACCACAGTCCTGGAGAAATAATCAGACACAGTTTTAATATCGCACGGTTTCTCTTATTATGAGAGACCTAAAATATAAAGAGCAAAACAAAAGCTGGGTAATACAAAACAGGGAGACAACAGATCTTTTGCCATAGGAAAGGGACCAAAAGATGAAGGAGGGGATAAAAAGGACCCAAGGGTGCCACGTGCTTGTGCTAGCTCCCGCACTGAGTGGGCCCGTGCTGCACTGCACACCTGTGCTCACAAAATCAAAATTAAAGAAGAGTAAGGGCAGGGTAAGCATTTCACCTGTGTAAGGCCTCAAATGTCACTCGCCATGTACTTTTCCTAAGGAAGCACCTGGAAGAGGTCCCTTCCCAAAGGCAGGGAGCAGCTGAAAAGAGGCACAGATGGGACCCTAGAGGACAGGGGCAGACCGTGGGGCGCCGGGGAAGGAGCCACCAAGGACATGGGGCTGGCTCCTGAGGGGGGTGTCTTAGGAAACAGGCAGAATTGGACTGATCTTCTGAAACATTTGAATGGATTTCTGGAAAATTTGAGGCTAAATCAACAATAGACAGAAAGAAAACCAAGACAAAAAAGCTATGAAAGAAGGAAAATTATACTACATATGGCTCAGCTGTGAATAACTTAATTATTGTAATGTAAATTGTGTGTGTTTATGTGGTTTGAGGTAAAAAAATCTACATATTCATCTATAATAGAATCCAAGAAGCACTATTTTTAAAAAAATCAAGAACTAGTATACATCTACATATCTGCAAATTCCACATCTGGATTCAACAGAGAATGGAAAATATTTGGCAAGGAAAAACTGCATCTCTTTTGGATTTGTACAGGCTGTTATGGGTCATTATTCTCTAAACAACACTGCATAACAATTACACACGCAGCACTTACACCACAGTAGACCCACAGGTCACCCAGAGACGGGAGAGTGCGCACAGGCTACATGTAATTACCGGGCCACTTTACAGAAAGGACGTGAGCACACACACCTTCTGGTATCCACAGGGGCTTCTGGAATCAGTCCTTTGTGGATACCGAGGGTGCTTGTGTTCACACTGTATTTAGAAATATGGAGGCAAAATCCAGAAGCAAATGCTAGCGAGTTCTTGTCTTCTAAAGAGTCAGAACTGTGGTGGAGAAGGGGCATCTCTTGTTTTCTATGAGCCTTATGGAATGATTTGACTTTTAAAAGTGTTTACATAAATACAGGTCCATGGAAGGGAAGAAGGGAAAGGAGTAAGATAGGGAGAAAGGGAAAGAGAGACGGAGAGGAGGAGCTGAATAGATTGGTTCACTTTACGGTGATGTTCAGTGAAGTCTTGTCTAGTTACTTTCTCATTGCTGGGACAAAACACCCGACAACTACAAACTAAAGCAGGAGAGGTTGATTTGGCTCAGCCTGCAGAGGTTCAGTCTGCAGCTGTCTGGCTCCAAGGCAAGGCGGTCTAGCAGGAGGAGGCAGCGGAACAGCAGAATCAGCCCCCCTTTTATTCTGCCAGGCCACAGGCATGCTGGCCGGTGTCACCCACACCCACAGAGAGGCCTCTTCCCTCAGTAAGTCTATGCAACAGCTCCCAGAAAGGTGCTAATCCAGTCAGCGGGCTGACCCAGGATCACACACCCTAGACCCAGCATCTCTGAAAAGCCCCACTATGAGCATGTGGGGCTTTCGGGGGACATCTAGACACAAACCACGACAAGTCCCTTCTCAGGAGCATTCACATTTTAAATGGTGACACAAATGCCACTTACACTTGGACCCAAACAAGTACGCCAGGCCCTGTAGTGGGTGAGTAGGGGTCTGCATAGTGCCACGTGGTCTGAGGCCCCTGCGGCCCTTGTAAGCCACAGCTAAGGGCAAGAGGAAGTGGGGTGGCTGAGCTGAGGAGGGGAGACACACAGTGGGCTCCTCTGCTGGGGTTGGGGTGCAGGGCTAGGGTGTAACTCAGCAGTAGAGTGCGTGCCAACCCTGGGGGAGGCCCAGGGCTCTGGTCTCAGCCTCTGGAGGAACAACAGGGTTATTTGTTCACCTCTGGGGCTGCCCACAGGCCTGGCGGGCAGAGCGCTGAGTGAGGGCTTAGGAAGCAGGAACTAGTCTTTTGGGGTGAATGACACCTTTCATGAGAGGCCTGGGAACTCAAGCTCCACCCAGCAAGTGGAGACTTGGCTACTCCCTGAGGACAGGGTGATGCTTATCTGGCATCCTTTCTGATGACTGCATGTCCTGTGGGTCAGGAAGACACCCCATCCTGACAGCCACACCTGGCGAAGGTTCCCACTCTGGAAGACTTGAGCCCAGGGAAGGGAAGAAATGCAGAGCTCCCCTGGCACTCCAGTCCTGGACAACTGACCAGATCACCCAGACAGCTGCCCTGTGACTGATGTGACGGAAATGCCTGACAAAAGTGTGATTGACGTCCTGGGCAGAGGAGGAGGGGGAATCAGCAAGAGACCATCACGCTGCTGAGACGTGAGGCCTAGGGATGATTTATTTCCAGAATTTTTCATTAATAACTCTGGACCATGGGTGACTACAGGTAACTGCAGAGAGCTAAATCCAGGTTTGAGGCATGCAAGCAAGAAGACAGAAAGCAGAATTGAAAACCACACAGGAGACAGTAGCAGCCATGGGAGTATAAGTGATTTGTCCGTTTTTCATACTGATTCCTTCCAAATTCACACAGGCTACAGGCATTGCTTTTTACTAGAAAGTATAAATGAATGTGTGCAAAACTCCTGCAGTAGCACTAGGCTCGCACCATCCAAATCGGGCTGGTCATACAAAACCTCCACCAACATGTCCCGATTCTAAGTCCCTGATCGCTGTTTGTTTCCAGTCCTTGTATCAGATGTTGAAGTTTTAGAAAATTCCTTAAGCCATTCACGCTGTCCACCCAGAGAATTAACGTGGGTCTCCCGTTATCCAGCGTCTCTGCTGAAGTTCCCGTTTACTCTGCGCGTTTCAAGGAGTTTCTGCACCGCGCATTGCTTCAAGTGATTTGACCAAGAGTTTTATTCCTTGTTGTGCACGGTACACAGCAGTCATAATTAACAAACCCAGCTGTCACTCAGCCCGGAGAGCGTCAAACCCAAAGGCCACGGAGGGTGTCCCTGAAAGCAAGACCACGCCAGGCTGGCGGGAGCCCCATAAATATTATAGGACGGTGGCGCTGACCCACACTCTTTGACAGAAACATTAAAGCACGAGGCTTTGACACCCTCCTGAATTCCCCGTCCCAGAGCGCACCGGGCTCCGGGCCTGGAGCAGGGCTGGAGGCTCCAAGAGGTCTCCTGCCTGTCGCCCTTGCTCTCTGGTCACACAGAACAGAACAGGTGGGGTGGCTCTCTACCTGCGATGCAGGGCCACAGAGACCACCGCGCTCTTCTTTCTGTAGACCCACGATTCCTCCGAGCCCAAATTCCCACCACGTCCGGAAAGGTGCCCTCCTCGCTTTTCGGATCATCCACTTCCCCCTGCCCTGAAGACTTGCAGGAACCGCGCAGGGCAAAGGCCTGCTCTGTTGGGGGGCCTGCAGGGCTCCCCGCAATTCCGTCCCCGAGGCGTGGTACCGCACGGCACCACTAGATGGCGCCGCAGGCACACAGAGGCGGGCGCCCCGCGCCTCCCAGCGGGCTCCAGCTAGGGCAGAGGCAGCAGAGGACTGCAGGGCCCCGGAACGCTGCAAAGCCCCTCTGCAAACAGCCGTTTTGCACACAGCTGTCCTCGGCACCCGAGCATTGTTTAATGTTTCCCTGAGTGTTGTTTCGGGGGGTGGGGAATAGGCTGGGCTTAAAATCAGGGAGCAGGATCTGCTCTGTAACCTACAAGGAGACTTCGCTTTCTGGTACGAAGGGCGAGAAGTGCAGAGTTGCTGGGGGCCGAGTCCGCGGAGAAGTAAGCGCTGCATTCGGGAGCTTGGCTGAGGTCGGGCACTCCCAGCCCATCCTGGCAGGGCTGCCACGAAGCCCGTGCCCGACCCACTGTCCACCGTGGTCGCGAAGCGCAGTGGTCTCTGGACGAGGACCTCGCTGGACAGCAGGTGACCTGCAGTGGGCAGCAGGTGGGGGCGGCACCGAGGGCTGGAGAGCGAGGCGGGCAGGCACGCTGGAGGAGGCACACTGTCACCTGTCGGCCCTCCCTCCCTCCCTGACACCTGGAGGGATAGCTGGACGCATCGTGCTGCTATGTGGTACCCAAATCACCTTGGCCCCGAGGATGAGGGCTTTTATTAGTGCAGGGCTGCCGGAGGCAGAAGCCAGAGCAGAGCATCTTACCCATGGCCCTGTGTCCTGCCTCAGGCATTCCGCCCCAGGACCTTTGCCTGGGGCCCTCGGGGTAACCTCAGCCTTCTCCTGAGAACCCCAGGCTCCTGCCTGCTCCTGGGCTGGACCCTGGATCCCCACCTTGGCCAGTTTCCTTGCAGCCCGAGGCTGTGCACCGCACCCTGCCCTCAGCCCAGCAGCAAGGTGGCCCTCCTCAGCACCTTCTAGCTCCTCCAACTCGGGCAGGGCCCAGGCCCAGGGCTGCCTCACTCCCAAGGAATGGGGCTGCTGGTCCCCTGTGTCAAAAGACAGTGATGACTGCCCGGCAGGGACCTGGATGGCTTAGAGACAGTCGCCTGTGTCCAGGGTCCCAGGACACTCTCCTGAGGTTTTGTTACTGTTTTGTGGTTTTCCTGTTATTAGCATTTTTAATTTTTAATGGGTAACTAGAAATTGTTCTTATTCACAGTCTGTAGACCATGACATTGCAAAGCTCTTACCTGGACAGAAAGAAGGCTACACCCAGCTAATATAAGCACCACCCCATGCTCTTATCTTTTCGTGGTGTTTTTGTGCATGGGTGGTAAGACTGCTTAAAATCCACTGTATTAGCAATTTGCAAGAATAAATTACTAACTAAAGTTTCTGATTTTCTTCAGTTTCAGTTACCTGTAGGCAAATGTGATCTAAAAACATCAAATAGAAAATTCTAGAAATAATTCAAGAATTTAAAGTATTTGTCCTTATGATGAGCATGATGAAATCTCTCCTGTCACCCTTCTGTCCTGCCCGGGATATGAATCCCTTCTCTGCAGTGGGTCCACACTGCGCCTGCTACCCACCCATTAGTAACCAGTAGTGACCTCAGTCTTCAGACCCACTATCACAGGATGGCACTTAGTTTACTTAATAATGACCCGAAGCACAAGAGGAGCGGTGCTGGCAATTGTATCTCCATGTATGGTTATTACTGCTGTTGATCTCTTACTGTATCTAGTTTATAAATTAAACTTCACTATGGGTACATATTAGGTATTGCAGGCAGAAATGGTTCATCGGGCCTCAGTGCTATCTGTAGTTCCCAGCACCCTGAGACATTCTGGAATGAGCCCAGGATGAAGGGACCACTGCATTCTCACCAGGTTGACAATCCATGTCTTGAATTTATTCCACCTGTCTGACTGAATTTTTATCCCTTCTTTTAACAGTCTTATTGTTACTCTCAGCAGATGTTCTCCTGCCCACTACACAGTCACCAACCCCTCCATTTCCTGTGTGCTTACCTCCAAGTTTCTACAGATGTGTCAGGGGAAATACGACACTTGTGCCTCATTCCTGCCGTGGTCTGTTAAGTATGAAAGTTACCCTTCCGGAAAAATCCAGAGGCCTGGAAGAGCTCTCCTCCTCCTCTACCCCCAGCCCATCTCTGTCTCTGCAAAAGCAAACACAGCCCTGGGGACAGGAAGTGGTTTCCTCCCACTGGGAGTTGTGGTCTGCAGCTGGTTCAGTGCCTGGGGCATTTAGTGCTGGCACTGGGCGCCTGTGGGGGGTGGTGAGAGCAGAGTGACCCCCAGGACCCTGCCTCACAGGCAAACCAGCTTTTCCTGTCTTCCTGGCCCTTACTCAGACCACCACATTGCGGGTCCCTCATTTCCAGCAGCTCCAAAGATGGGAGGAAAGAACACAAGGGCTGAGGCCAGTGGAATTTCCTGCCCAAGTCTGACTTTTCCATTATTTCCTGGCTGCCACCCCCTGTCCCTTCCTGAAGGATGAAGCTGTATCAGTCCCACTCTCTCTCAAGTATCTGTCTTCATCCTTTCCCTCCCTGCTAGCAGGAAGGCAAATGGATGGATGGATGGATGGATGGATGGATGGATGGATGGAGGCATGGATGGGTATTTCCTCCTTAGGAAAGATCCCCAAACACAAGTCTTTTGCTGGGACACCTTGCTCAGCCTCTCCTGGCCTGGCTGAGCAGCCTGATGTCCACCCCCTCCCCACAGCCAAACTGTAGCTAAATCAGGAGCCCATCAAGGGTACAACCTTGCACTCAACCAGACTCATTTTCTTCGTCCACCAATCAGAGTTCACCCTAGTGATTTTGTTTTCTGGTCTTTTTTCTGAAACCTGCTCCTTCCCGGGTGCTCTGGGAGCCTCCCCTCCCTTGGTCCCCTGCAGCCCGGAGTCCTCGACCTCTTTGCCCTTTCTTTGTACAAGCTCAGCTCTCCACGTGGCCTGGCACCACCCGAGGGCCTCCCCTCTCTTCTCCTCCTAAAGGCCACTTGCAAGCCATAGGACCACCCACCCTGCTCCTGGGAACCACTGTGCTCGGGGGTCCCAGGGGCTCCACACTCAGAGTTCAAACTGACCTTGCCATTGCTACTTCCCACCCAGCCTTGGGAACCCCAACTCAGCAGGGGTGCCCCATCACCCATGTCGGTAAGGATGGGCCCTTCATAAACAGCCATCTGGCCCATTGTGTGGCCTTGTCCCCAGCTGCCCCCACATGCACCTCCATGTGAGGTAACAGAATCCCCTGGAGTTCGCCTGCAGGTAGGTCTGGCTCTGGCTGTGCTGCTAGGGTTTGCTCTGTTTATACTGGCCTCTTTCAGGCAGCTGGAGACCATTTCTTCCTCCCTGCACCTCTTTCTGGCTCAGTTGGGCGCCCCCATAGATCGCTAGTAACACCAAGGTGTTAGAGGATGGGGGTTCCTTGGGATCACGGTCCTGGGGGACCCAGGGTCCACAATGCTGGGCACAGAGCTTAGCACTAGGGGGCGCTGAGTACCAGCTCGATCTCACTTGTTTAGGCTGCACTCAAGAGGATGTGAGGCTGGGGGTGGGGTAGGGGGGGGTGCACAGCCCTGGCACAGCGGCTCAGCACTGAGCAGCCGTGGTCCTCATTTCCATGTCCACAAACCTGGACGGTGATTTCACACGAGTCCGTCCTTGGCAAGCAGTTGCCTAGAGGCCGGCCCTCGGGCGGTAGTATTTCCACCCTAATCTGTTTTTGGTAAGGATCTGTTGATGGAGCCCAAAGGAGAAATGGCTTGGCCTTGTGGAGTGGCTGGAGAAGTGAAGAGGTTGGAGAAGAAAGCACAAGAGAGTGGAGGGGTCATAGTGTGGACCGAGAACATCCCCTGGAGGTCCCCAGCCCATGGCCCTGTTGGGGGGGTGGGCCTTTAGGAGGCGGGCCCTCATGGGAGGAAGTGAGGTCACTGGGGGCGTGGCTTCAAGCGATACTGAGGCTGTGGACCTTCCCGTCTCTTTCCCCTTTCTCAGCTGCCGCCAGGACGTGAGCAGCCTCCCCTGCCGCACACCCCCACTGTGATAGATGGTGCGACACTCTGAGCCGGAGCAAACCTCTGCTGCTTTTCAGTGATTGTCTCAGGTATTTTGTCACAATAATAGAAAGCTGATCAACATGGGAGACAAGGCAAACTTTGGGAAAACAGATCCATCGGTTATCTTTGTGTAAGAAAAGTAGAGAGACTTACATTACTTCTTCCTAGTGTCATCTTGGGGTGTGTGCATGTGCATGTGTGTGCGTGTGCGTGCATCGTAAAGGCTACAGTCTGGTATCAGAAACTGAACATAGGTCTATAAAAGGATATAGCTTGTTATTTATCTATCTTAAATCTAAATTTTTTCACTTAAAATCAAAGATTGTGATGCTTCTTTTAAGAATTAATTTACTTCACACAAATTAAGTTATGGCTTTAAAGGTTTTCCTCTACTTCCTTGGGAAAGGTATTTATGCAAGGATAAAGCATTGTGATAATATTATCATGAGCCAGCACTGTAAGCCTCAAACTCCGCCGCATCTTGTTGAGTTTAAAAAATACATTTTAATCTTTTCTCCTCTGGCTGTCCTAGATGTCACAAGAATGCTAACTATACTGAAGAATGAGAGAAAGAAATGGAAACTGAGTCAAATATTGAAACAAATTAGAAAGAAATCACTGTGTAGATCTCTACTAGAAAGTAGGTCAGAGATAAAGGTACGTGGAAGTTATTTCATTTCCCATAACAATCACCTGGTCATTTATTTCTCAGACTGAAGACTGGCCCGTCCAACAGCAACAGAAAGTGAACAGTGTTTTTCTTGGTTAGATTCACTTGACCAGGGAGTGCTGAGCTAACTGATGGAGTAAGGGACTGGCTCCCTTTTCCTCAGTTGGACAATTCTGTCTGGATACATAGGCTTTGTGCCTCCTCCTGGGCCTGGACCCAGATGGGTCCAGGGAGGGAGCCGAGGGGACCCTGAGTCCTAGCATGGGAGCAGGGCTGTGTCCCTAGCCAGCCACCCTGCCTGGGAACCACAGGATGGGCAGCCAGGTGGCCTGCTCTGAGCTGTTGTTCCTCAAGAATGAGCTCCCGTCTAGGCTTGAGGGTCACTCCATAAAGGCCTTCGCGGCTAATCTGTTAGTCCCTCCATGAGTATTCCTGAGTTCTGCTCCATACGAATTAGGAGAACAATAAGATTCAAACTCAGTGGCTCTTCAGAGTAAATCTGTCTGTGTTTTTCCTGAGTCTTTTGGTTTTTCTCCCTGATGCTCCAGCTGCTGCTCTCAAAAGACTCAGCCTGGTTTTCTCTGATGATGACAGTGGATAGAGACGCCAGTAGTCGGAAAGAGGTCACCTCTGCTGACCAACTCACACATTCAAAGATGTAATGGCACCGCCTGCGGTCTCTGGTGAGCTGAGTGAATCTCACCTTCCGATAACTCGGAAGGAAAATGCTCCTGAGTGGGAAGAATCATCTGGTTTTCCTTACAGACCGGAGGCGGAGGTGGAGCCTGAGGAGATGGCTGTGCTGGGTGCAGGACTCAGGCGTGCAGGGTCCGGTAGGGAAGACTCTAGGGAACCTGCACAGCCTGCCCAGAGAGTCATGCTCTGCAGTTTCCAGTCCTTCCTTCTCTTCTCGTGGAGAGGCCTCTATACCCAGGGCCCCTTGGCTGCGGTCCTGAGCTCTTGCTTTCTTGTTGTCCCATTCCCCAGGAGACCCACACGGCCGTGTCTGAATGAACGCAGGGCACGGCCTCATCGGTTCTACACTGAAGGCCTGTTTCTAATTTCCTATGGAGAACCATGTGACTTTCTAATTCAGGAAAACGTAAACTTCTTACTTTTAACAGACAAGAGTTGTGCATATCTGTGGGGTACAGCGCCATGCTTCTGTCCACGTTTGCATTACAGATTCAGCCAAGGTCTTCGTCCTACCTCTCCCTTGCTGATCTGGACCTTTTCCATGGTCTGTGTGTCAAAAGTCTGTTTTAGAATTTTTTTAAAAGTTATTTTGAAGGTAGTAAAATACAACAGAACAAGACAGAACAAAGCCAATTGAGACAATGCAGTGAAATTGGTACAGAACTTCACAGCAGGTTACTGGGATAACAGTAATAGGTACTGAAAGGGTTTTGGCCCAGACAGGACACTGTAGCCAGAAAAGCCTCAACTGGAAGCAGGAAGCCCCTATCTCCCCTGCCCCTAGGAATTTACCTTTGATGCCATCTTCCCACCCTTGGGAATTTACCTATGGTGCAAAACCTAGGACCAATGGGCTACCTGTATATCCCTAATGCCTGCCTTAGGTTCTACCCCAAACTGAGGCTACATACCCCCATGCCACATGTCCGCCAGAGAGATCGCCGGTCGCCAGCAGTGGGGGTGCCAGTCATCTCTCTCCATGTTCTCAGAATAAAGGCCGCTTTTCATTTTATACTTCTCATCTTTTGGAAATATTTTTCATCTTTTGGAAATAATCCTATGATTTGGTGCCGTGACTCGATCGGCAGGCGATTGACTCCTGGGACACACCCAGTTGAGTCCCCTAGCCAATAACCAGATAACATCCTGGATTAATTCCGAGCTTTTTCCTCTCCCAAGATGTCCTTGTTGCCAGCCTCCTGCACTCAGCATCGGCCAGATTGATTTCAGGTGAGCACTCCCCGGGGAACTTTTGGCACTGGGCAGCCCCAGTTGACTGTTCTCCCCCGTTTGTGTGGGTCTGTGCATTCTCATGTCCTTAGGACAGCCCAGGGCAGGGTTCTTTCTGGGATAATCTGTGTCCACACTCTATAAAATCTCTCACGTTCTTTGGGTTCGGATAGCCCAAAGCAGAGATTTTTGGACCGCCCACACTGAAAGGACTGCCTCACTTCCCTTAAAGCCTCGAGCTTTCACGGGCAAAACTGTTACTGACCCCACGTGGGCTCCACTCGTAAATCTCTCAGTGATGACTGGAACATACAAGTTTTTGGAACCGTAGCCGCCGCGTGGTGCCACAAACGAGTGACGGCTTGTTCTGGACCACTGGCTTATTTATTGCCTGAATCAGTCATGGGAAACGTATTTTCTAACTCCCAAAAGATGCCTTTACAATGCCTAATTTACAATTTATGTACTCTTAAAAATTAAAAGTACCATAAAAACTAAACAATTAACTTTTTACTGCCAGGAGGTCTGGCCAACCTACCCGCTTAGTGGCCCAAGGCTTATTGGCTTATTGGCTTATTGGCCCAAGCGTTGGCCCAAGGAAGGAACATTTGACCCCTGTATTCTCAGGAATTTGTATGATTTCTGTCAGACTGGCGACAAGTTATTAGAACTCCCTTATGTTCAGGCCTTTCTTGTTCTGAGAACACGCCAGTCTTTCATTAAGTCTTGTGCTCCCGCTGAGATACTGTTAGCTAACTCTACCGCACTGCAAACTTTTCCGTCCTGCCCTCAGGATTCGCTTCAGGATGTTCCTCCGGTGTTTTCCCGGCCACCGCCTGCCTACCCCCCAACTCGTCCCTGCCGTTACCTCCCACTAGACCACTCTCCCCTCCCCCTATGCCTGATTCTCTCAGCAGTCCTGGTCCCAATGCATCACAGATACTTCCCGCTGTGCGATCGTCTCCCTCTCCGCCTTCTGGGACCCAAAACTCTCCCAGCAACTCTAATCACTCTGTTAGCGCTTCCTCAAAGTCTCCGATTTCTTGTTCTCCTGAGAATTCTCCATCCCCTACAGCATTCTCACTGCCTGCCCACCATACTGTCTCGGTTGCTATGTCCTTCCAGCAGGCCGCGTGATTGTTCCAGCTTGCGCTGGGAACAGTCGCCATGTTGCAACCCTCTGCCACGTGGCATGGTGCTGCCATGTTCAGGAGGGTCACATGGTGACAGGGCGCCGCCATGTTTTGGGTCACGTGACAAGGCGCCGCCACGTTCCCAGCACCCTCACTGTCAACGGGTGCCCCCTTGTGGCTCCTCTTGTGAACTGCAACAGCCACCCTGTTGCAGTGCACATGATGCTTCATTGTGCTGCCGACAGCAGTCCTCTCACTGCAAGGCACACAGTGAGACGCCATCTGCCTGTGTTTCCCAGGGTGACCGGCAGCAGCTCTGTAGGCCCTCTACAGATGATTGCTCACATGTGTCTACCGGATGGATGGCTGCCCAATGGCCCTCTGCTCCGGCATCTTCTCCTCAGGCTCTGCTACCACTTTGGGAGCAAGCTGGCCCTGAGGGACGTGTCAACATCCATGTGCCTTTTTCCCTTTCTGATCTATCCCAGATTGCCCATAAATTAGGTAGCTTCTCTGTTGACCCACAGAATTATATCAGGCAATTTAAATTCATTACTAATTGTTATGATTTACATTTTAAGGATGTTTATGTGATTTTAAATACCACCCTTAGCTCACAAGAGTGAAATCAGCTGTGGCAGGCAGCTCGAGAAGAAGCTGATCGCAGGCATAAGGCAAACACCACTGAAAACGACCCTGGGCCTGTAGCTGTGCGAGACCAAGAACCTGACTGGAACTATCAGAATGGACAAGGTTCAAAAAATTACATAAGATGATTGTCTGATTGTGGGCCTTAATAAGATTGCTTACAAACATACTAACTACAACAAGTTTTTAGAACAGGTCCAGGAGGCTAATGAAAACCCGGCTGTGTTTTTAAATCAGCTTTGGGAAACCTTAATCAAGTATACTAATGTAAACCCAGATTCTCATGAAGGGATGATTGTTGTTAACTCTTTATTTTATTTCACAGCCTGCTCCTGATATTCGTGCAAAATTACAAAAGGTTGAACATGGCCCTCAAACTTCACAAGGGGATCTACTTAAATTAGCCTTCCGTGTCTTCAACAATAGAGATAAGGTTTAAAAGGAGGAAAAGCAAGCTCAAAAATTAAAGTTTGCTAAATGTCAGTCTGACCTCTTAGCAGTGGCACTGGGAGCTCCCAAGATAAGAAATCCACAAGGTGTGGCTGCCCGAGTCCCGCCTGGACCGTGCTTCAAGTGCAGCAAGCAAAGACACTGGGCAAAAGATTGCCCTAACCCTGGCATTCCTCCAGGACCCTGTCCATACTGCAACCTTAGGGCATTGGAAGAGTGACTATCCTAGCCGCCAACGAGCGGGTAAGCCATCCTCTAATCCCTTGCCCTCACAGGAGACTCCGTCAATGCCAGATTCATCACTGACTGACCTGCTCAGACTTGCTGCAGAAGATTGACGGGGCTTGGGGCTCACAGCCCCCACTCCGGTAAACTTGTTGGAGCCCCGAGTCTCACTGGAGGTCTCAGGTAAGATAGTATCTCTGCTTGTGGATGCAGGGGCGACTTATAGTGTATTTCCTGAATTTTCAGGACCTTGTAGTAAATCCTTGATTTCTGTTGTGGGCATTGATGGCCAGCCAAATTAACCTTTGTAGACTGGGCCTATCCTGTGTAGATTCCAGACTCTTTTTTTTACCCGTAGCTTCCTAGTAATCCCAACATGTCCCACTCCCCTTTTAGGTAGAGACCTTCAAAAGCTTAATTTTTCCTTTACTTTCTCTTTCTCCACAGCCCTAATCTCCAAACAGCCTCACAATGCATTGCAAAGCCATTCCCTCCCCTTCCTCCTTCTCTGGTTGACCCCATAGTTTGGGACACATCCAATCCCACTTTGGCTACACATGCCACGCCTGTTTTAATCCATCTCAGGGGTCCCTCAAAATTCCCTGTGTTCCCAAATACCCCATAGCCCCCCAACATTTAAGGGGGCTTAAACCCATAATTAAGCGGCTTTTATACAACAGTTTTCTTAAACCTACCCATTCACCCTACAATACTCCCATTCTCCCGGTACTCAAGCCTGATGGGTCTTATCGCCTGGTACAGGACCTTAGGGTAATTAACAGTGCTGTTACCCCCACTCACCCAGTGGTGCCAATTCCTTATACTATGCTCTCTCATACCCCTCCCTCCACCACTCACTTTACAGTTATAGATCTTAAAGATGCCTTCTTCACTAACCCCCTACAACCTGATTGCCAGAACCTCTTTTCATTTACACAGACTGACCCAGACACTCTCAGGTCTCAACAACTTACTTGGACTCCCCCAGGGGTTCAGGGATAGTCCCCACTTCTTTAATCAGGCTCTTGCTACTGACCTCACAGAACTTGATCTCAAACCTAGTGTTCTCCTTCAATATATAGACGACCTCCTATTATGTTCTCCATCCCATATGTTAGCCATACACCACTCAGCAAGTCTTCTTAATTTCCTTGCTAGTCGTGGATACAGGGTCTCTCCTGCTAAAGCCCAGATAGCCTCCCCAAAAGTCAAATGCCTAGGTCTTGCTCTCACCCCCACTACTCACTCTATCACCTCAGATCATAAGGCAATTCTTCGTGATTTCCAGGTGCCCACAACTAAACAGCAGGTTACATCTTTCCTAGGTTTAGCTAATTTCTTTCGTCTCTGGATTCCTAACTTTGCAGCCCTAGCTCAACCCCTCTACAAGGCCACTAAGGGTCCCTTATCAGAACCCCTGGACCCTACTAGGCCCTTTCATATGCCTCCTTTCATAAATTAAAAGAGGCTCTCCTAAAAGCTCCAGCTCTTACCCTTCCTGATCCCACCCAACCTTTCATCCTATACACTACCTTTCAGAGCCACAATGCTATAGGTGTACTAGGACACAAAAAGGGACCTTCTTTTCAAGCAGTAGCTTACTTATCAAAACAGATCACACAGTAAAAGGATGGGCTTCTTATCTCTGAGCTCTTGCAGCTGCAGCCCTCGACACAGGAAGCTAAAAAGTTTACATTAGGGCAATTTATTACAGTACACTCACCTCATCACCTACGTGAGCTTATCTCACATAAGGTGCTCCCTGCCCTAATGACCCCTTCTCGCCTTCAACAGGTACACTTAGCTCTCTCTCAAGACCCTTGCATCTCTATTGCAACTAGTGATCCTCATGAATGTAACAACCTTAATGTAACAACCTTACTTCCCACCTCAGAGGGCCATCCTCACCATGACTGTATTGAGTTTTTACAGATGACTCCCACCCCTTTCCCTCACAACAGTAGCACACCTCTCTCCTTGGCTTTTGACACATGGTTCATAGATGGCAGTTCAACAAACACAGACAACCAAAAAAAGGCAGGATATGCAATAGTTAACCAATCAAAAGTTATAGAGGCAAATACACTGCCACCTGGGACCTCTTCCCAGAGGGCAGAACTTATTGCCCTTACAAGGGCCCTTACACTAGCAAAAGGCAAGATTATAAATATATACACTGACTCAAAGTATACATTTAGCATTTTACACTCTCATGCCTCTATCTGGCAAGAACGGGGTTTTGTTACCACTCAGGGAACCCCCATCATTAATGCTCCCCTTATCCTTAAACTACTAGAGGCAGCCCAACTTCCAAAGCAGGCAGCAGTTATTCACTGTAGGGGACACCAAAACTCTACAGATCCTATTGCTCAAGGCAATGCCTTTGCAGATTCACAAGCCAAGCTAGCTGCACAAGGGCCCTGCTTTTCTCATCTTCTCCCATTAGTCCCAAACACTCTACCTCAGCCTAATTACTCACCAGAGCAGTTACAGCTATTTCATAAACCAGGTTACACACAGAACACTCAGGGATGGATTCTTCAGGGATCTAAACTTGTTCTCCCACATCAACAGGCCTTAGACATCATCACTAACTTACACAACTGTTTTCATATAGGATCACAGGCCCTATACAAACTATTAGCCCCAGTAGTCACACACCCTTCTCTAAAAGCTATCATTCTTAAGATTACTCACACCTCTGATCTCTGTGCCAGGACCTCTCCTCAGGGACGTATGGCACCCCTTTCCTTTCCTCCCCATCAGTTTTGAGGACACAACCCTGGTCAGGACTGGCAGATAGATTTTACACATGTGCCCCGCCACAAAACTCTCAAATATCTTCTCACCTTTGTTTGTACTTTTTCAGGATGGATAGAAGCCTTTCCCACAACCAGGGAAACTGCTGATGTAGTTACCAAAATCATATTACAAGAAATCATTCCAAGGTTTGGTCTACCTCAGAGTATTCAGTCAGATAATGGTCCCGCCTTTATTTCTCAGATCACTCAACAGGTATCCTCAAGCTTACACATCACCTGGCACCTACACATCCCATACCATCCGCAATCCTCAGGGAAAGTAGAAAAGGCAAATGGCCTTTTATAGAGACACACCTTACAAAACTCACTTTAGAACTACACCAACCTTGGCCTCAACTTTTGCCCTTAGCCTTAGCCAAGCTCAGGGCACTTCCCTGGGCTCCTACTTTCTTAAGTCCTTTTGAACTTATGTACAGCAGGCCATTCTTACTCCACAATCTTCCTACTCCCCAAAACCTCCCTCCCCTGGCCGACTGTGTCCCAGTTCTCTCCTTTCTCTGACACCTGTTGCGACAACATGCTGATCTCTGCCTTCCACAATCCTCTGGAGAAAACAAACCAGATCTTCCCATATCCCTAGGAGATCTAATTTATCTCAAATGTTCTAAATCCGCAGGACTACAACCAAGGTGGAGTGGCCCTTATTTGGTCTACTTGGCTACCCTTACAGCAGTCAAAGTTGCTGGACTCCCATCCTGGTTTCACATCACTCAGGCTAAGAGGTGCCCTCCCAGCCCTAAATCTGATCATTCTGAGTGGTCATCTCATCTTCTGTCACCTACCCGTCTCCATCTCACAAAGGCCCACAACCACAGTTAACAGGCTATGTCATGTTTTGTTATCCACTTTGGTTCCTAATTTCTTACATTCTATTAATGATCATTTTTACAGCAGGACTCTTGACAGTCTTTCCTAAAGACTCCCACATCATGCATAAGATCATCTTCATAATGTTCTATATGATAACAGTCGCAGTTCTTTCCACCCTCAGCTGTCTGGTTAAACGTGACGTCCCTGAAAGCCTAAGCCCTTACCTTCCCTATACTGGTATAGCCACCACCTTCCCTGCTCCCCCTGTTTTTTCCAGTTCAACTTCTGGACCGGAGACAAGTTTTATACACCTACCGTCTTAACTTTTATGCTTTCACTTGGGAGAGTAATCACTTCTCATAATATCATTTCTCCTAACTCACACTTAATTGTTAGAATTCTGCCTTACCGTGGAACATGTCTAAATCAAAGGCACCTTTCCCTCTACCTCACCTGGGTCCTTAAATATGACAGTGCCACATCTCCTCATAATATCTTGTCTCTTTGTTTTTCCAGTCTAACATATGTGTATTCACCAGTGAAGTTGTCCTGGCCAAAACACCTGGCACCAGCGTCTACCTGGGCATCAACCTTCATCTCTTCAACTCCCCTAGGCTCCAGTACAGCACCCTCTGCCAGCAGGAAGTAGTTAAAGAGAGAAATCTTTGCCCCTTTTTATAATAATAATAATCATAAGACAGGATATGAAAGGGTTTTGGCCCAGACAGGACACTGTAGCCAGAAAAGCCTCAACCGGAAGCAGGAAGCCCCTATCTCCCCCGCCCCTAGGAATTTACCTTTGACGCCATCTTCCTGCCCCTGGGAATATGGCGCGAAACCTAGGACCAATGGGCCACGCCACGTGTCCACCAGAGAGATCGCCGGTCGCCTGTCATCTCTCTCCGTGTTCTCAGAATAAAGGCCACTTTTTATTTTATACTTCTCATCTTTTGGAACTATTTTTCATCTTTTGGAAATAATTCTATCAGGTACCACAGTATATCTCTTTATCTTCACAATAGTTGTTCTTTCAATCAGGTATAGCAAAATAAAATGAAATATAGAACATTATAGAAATTATGCAAACAGAATATTGAATAGAGCAATACAGCATAAAGCAACAGTGGTAAAAGTATTTGCCTTCAAAGAGATGGTAGAATGAAATCCTCCTTTTTGCTATATTGCCTGTGGTCAGCCTCCCAAAAGATGCTCAGACTTCTGGCTCCCGCTTGCTAACAGGGCGGGGGTGGGGTGGGGAGGTGGGATGTTTGAGTCTCAGCCCATGCACTGGTAGGCTCACTAGCGCTTAGCAGGGAGGTGAGCTGGTTGCTTGCATTCCAAGTGCCCTAAGTTCCAACATGGCACGGATCTCGGGAGTGTTTTAGCAATTTTGAAGTGTGCACTCTGATCCCCTGTGGCCACCACACAGTACAGATCGCTGGAGCTTGCTCCTCCAGCCTGACTCCGACTCCGTGCCCCAGTGACTGACACCCCACCTTCCTAGCCTCTCCTTTCTAGTCTGGTCCCGCGCGTCCCATGAATAGTAGTATTGGTCCTTGTGTGCCTGGCTGACGTCACTTAGCATAATGCCCTCCGGTTCAGCCTATGGGGTTGAACGATAGGCCTGCCTTCTTCTTCAAGGCTGCATGGTATTCTGCTGTGTGTCTGCACTCATCCTCCATTCGTGGGTGCTTAGGCTACTTCTGTCTTCAGTGTTGTGAATTATGGTGAAGAAAATAGGGAAATCTTAACATGAAAGTTAGAAGACATCTTCCAGATAGGTCACAACAGAGCAGGACTCAGGACTTCAGTAAGAAAGGTGACTCTACCCCTTTCTATAGCTCAAGTGTTTAGTCAGCTAGCAACACCAGAGAGGTCCGTGGTAGATTATGGGCCTGGATGGCTGCTGGAGCCTGAGGGTACAATTAGGTCAGAGTGAGGTGTCAAAGTCTTCCTATTGCAAAAGCAGGAGCAGGATTCTGCACCGTGGAAGAGGGCTGCTCCAGCAAGGGGAAGGGCAGGACTCCATAGACCCAAGGCCAGCTGCTAGGTCAGCGAGCTCTGTGCTGCGAGCTCTGTGTTGAGCTGGGAGATAGCTGGGGACACAGGTGTGCACAGGGCCCATAGCGGAGCTGCAGTGCTGCTCAGGAGACAGCCCGGGAGAAGGGCAGGCAGGTGGCCCCAGACTCCAGTGTTGACTCAAGCCTTAACGGTGGGTGTATGGGGTTGGTCTGTTCTGTGTCTTGTGGCGATTGCATCCCTTCTGCTCCTGGGGAAGGCTGAGCCCACCCTGTTCTGGTGACAGCAGCCAGAGCAGAAGCCAATGGTGCTCTGAGACCCCAGGATTTGGGAAAACCAGGGAAGCCAGGCACCAAGTGGGTCCTGCCGAAGGAGGAGAGTGACCATAGCACTTGGTTTGCAGACCCAGCAGACAGACACATGACGGGGACAGGGGTTTCAAAGGCCCTGTGCGCCCAGTCTCCTGTGAACTGAACCACTGGGGTAGGGGAAGGGGCGCGCGGCTCCTCCTCAGGAGAGAGGCAGTGATTCAGCCGAAGCAGAGCTCGTCTTTCCTCCTCTTTGCTCCATGAATGCCGTCAGTCTCCTCGATCTGGACAGTGCCATACACAGCCTCCAGGTCCCATGTGGCCTCCTCCCCATGCTGCAGGGTCTTCCTGGGTCTGGGTATTGGAACAGAGCCACTATCTCCCACTAGTCCGTCTGAACTCCGATTGGGCCTTTTCCGAGCCAGCTCCATTGCAGGGCATTGGTCCTGCCCTGGACCGTGTGTCCCCACATGTGAGGCTCTGGGACCAGTGTTGGCCTTGGTCTCCCTGGGTTCCACTTGCAGTCCCAAGTCACTTCAGGAACGCAGGAGTTTCTCCTGACGTGGGGGTTAGAAAAAAGAGTAGAGAAACTGGCTTCCTGGGGCCTTGATGCAGAGAGTTTCAGGCACTGAAAACATCCACATACCTCCCCCTTCAAAACCACCTCCTTATGCCCCAAATTCTATGATTAAAGTCTCATTTCTTTGATTTAAAAAGATGCCACAGACAGCTGTAATCCAGTCATCTGTCACATGTGCCACCCTCTACCGAGGCCCATGCATGCCATCAGGGAAGCTGACAAGGTATACAAGATGCTGGTGACTACTTGTTTGTAGAAGCTTCTAGCGCTTTCTGGAGACCCCCCTGATGCCTGTCTAAGCTTTCCTTACTCCCTCTCCTTTGCTCTGCATTTGGATCTCAGAGAAGCAGCTCATTGGCATCTTATTCCCACCTACTTTATCCTTTCTTTTTCAGCTCAGAGACCATGTTCAGGGAGCACACGCCTCCAGCGCTCCCTGCTAGCCCAGATTCACCTCAGCAACACTCAGGACAGTGCAGCCCTGCTGCCGCAAGATTCGCTGTCCCTGGGAACACAACGCGCCTCTCCTGGACACTCCTAGACACTGTGGGCCTGAAGCCGCTGCATCAGGGATGTGACTGACACTGTCTCCTCCTGCATTCCTCCCGTGTGCCCCCAGCGGACAATGTCCCGTTATCCAAGTGCTCGCTCGTGCTGCTATCTGGTGTGCTGGGAGGGGCATTTGGTGGCTTCCCTGCAGGGTCCCCTCCACCTGCTGTTCTATTTTACAGTCCACTTCCCTCTACCCTGGTGACAGACACATCAGCATGTTCTGCTACTCAGTGCAGGGCGGGGGGCTCCCACAGGCTCCGTGCATGGGGCATTAGGCAGCTGGCCAGCAGGTTCCATCCCAGAAGTGCTCATCTCATTAGCTCCACCCTGCCCAGCAAAATGCCTGGTCATCTGGGTTACAGCAATCAGGGCAGAATGGCTCCGGCGGCGGGGGAGATGCACTAGATTCTGAGCTGGAGACCATGCTGTTCTGTGAGCCACAGCGCTGTAAAGTGGGGCTGGCTCAGACGGATGGCCAGGGGGTCCATCCTGCTGGGGTTCTCACACCTTTGTCCTGCAGGGGAACCTGGGAAATGCTTCCAGGTGTCAGCCCTAGGTCATCCACTGTCGCTGTGAAGCATTTCACCAGGCTTCACGGCAGAACAGCACACTAGAGGCAGCATCTGAAAACGTGTTTTGCTCTGCTCTGAATCCTAGTGGGGGTTTTAAGAGTCAACTAGGATTTAAAAGCAGAGAAATCTCTTCTTTTGAGTTAACAAAGTGGCCCTGAGACAATGGGAAGCCCACAATGACTGGGCTCAGGTGGGTAGTAGCTAGACAGCAGATAGATTGCTCCACAAGGCTGACATTGATCCTCCATCCACTAGTTTTTAGAAAGTCACTCATTTTCTTCACTGGGAGAAAGCTGTGGGACCCAGAAGATGATGGTGGGACTTCGCAGTGACGCCCTAGGAACTGACCTCTGTGGATGTCGCAGCTCAGCTCAGCATGCTGGGGTCTGCCATGTGCTAGGGCTGAGGCTGCTTCTGGAGCCTCTGGTTTATGGGTGGGTGGGAATGGGTAGACAGATGGGCCATGTTGGTACCAAGAGAAGGGTCCATGTCACTCAGCCCTCGTTCTGGCCTGGGAGCCTCCTGGGTGATGTACTGAACCATGCCTGGGTCTTTACCTTACACGCCCAGGTCATGGGTGTGCAAGGCTGGGGCTCTGGAGGGTGCTGTTCTCTGCTTAGCTGGCAGAACAGTCACACACGCACTCAAGCCTCGCAGGGCAGAGCTGGCCACAGAGGCCTCTGGAACTAGACTTCAAGACCTGGACCTTCGTGGGGCACAGAGAGTCCCACAGCAGCCCACAGGAGGGGAGGGAGCCCTTGGGGAGGCAGTGTTCCAGGACAGGGAACCCATTGGGCTTCCCAGGCCCATGAGCTTCCAGGACACAGTAAGCATCTGATAACTAGCAAGACCCTTGAGACACACAAAGCAGAGTTGGCTTCTGGGCTCCTGTGGATTGGCAGGGCCTCTGTGGGCTGTGCGGTTCCTGTGTCCCTTCCCTGCAGATGGGTTTTGTGCCATCAACCCAGGGGGGTTGCAAATGTCAACCCAGGGGAGCCAACAGGAAGGGCCTCACTTCCTGCAGGGGACCTCTCAGTGGCCAGGCCAAGGTGTGGCTGGAAATCCTGGGGTGAGGCTCACTTCCCGTGCCCTTGGCCCTGTCTCCGAACGCAACTGACCAGTGGGTGTCCTCTGTCCCTGTCGACCACTTTTGGGATAAATGGCCGCCTATTTGCTCCATCCCCAAGCAGACTGCTCATGTGGTTTTCACCCCTCTGCTAGTGGCCTGTGTTCTCCAGGAAAAGCTGGCCTGGCCACCCAAGTGCCAGTGCTTGCTTTGCAGCCAGGAGCCCAGGTCTGAGCTCCACAGTATCCCAGCCACCAGGATGGGAACAGGAATGGGAAACGGTCATGAGATTCCAGGGCAGGGTTTGCAGGCCCTTAAAACAATTCTTGCTGTTGAGAGTGAGCCAGGGGCTGATTTGTCATGTCGCCAGTGGCAGGATAATGTCTATTGATCGTGAGGTGTGAATGCTTAAATACAACATTTATTACAGTAGAAGATACAGTGCCATTAATTTCTCTCAAAATTCAACCCCTTACACCAAACATGCTTATCCCGTTTTCCTTGTCCCTTTCTAAAGCAGATGTGGAAGTCCTTTTTCATGAATGTCTTCCTGGCTGCCCCAGTGTCCTGAGTTGATTCAAAGTTCATGGGGATTTCTGTCCAACAGAAACATGACACTGTGTCCTCATCCACCTTATCATCAGACCTGTTACCGGATGGCTTCCGGCTCTTCCCCAAAGCCAAAATGACCATGACAGGAAAATGTTTTGAATTGGTTGAGGGCTTCAAGGCAGCCAGGCCAGCACAGCTAAAGACACTCAGGAAAGAGGACTCCAGAGCTGCTACAGAAAGTGGCAAGGATGATGGGACGAGTGTGCTCAAAGCAGGGGGAGGACTTGGAGGGGACGATGGCAATGTGCCTTTTACTGCAATGAATTTTTACACATTCACTGTGTTTTCCCATCATGCTATGTAGAGCACATTTTCCTTACACGTTTTCTTAAAGCACTCTATCATAGATTTCACTGTGGCTCAAAATGTGGATGTGGTTTTAACTGTGTTATTACAAGTACCCATTTCCTGTTGTCTCAGGAAAAGTGCCACACACTGAAACCAGCCCAGGACAGGCTGATGGGTTTCCAGGGTATGTGAGTCAGTTGTGGGGCCAGGTTGAACACGGTGGCCGTTCCACAGTTCAGAGTCCTCCTAATAATCACAGGGTCGAATGTCACCAGCGTGTGTGTGGAGGGAGGTGACTCGGCCTGAGATGCCATAGGCCTATGAAAAGTGCCAGCTCTTAGCCCAGAAAAGACAAGAGCATAAATCACGTGATGCTTCACGTGGAAATCACCTGTTAAATTTTAATACCAGCCACACAAGCTCCCCTCCTTCCTTCTCCATTTCACCGTGGGGAGCTTGTTTCTGCCTCCCTGCACGGGGCCCCTATCCCAGGGGGAGGGAGGGGCTGTAGATTTGTTTCTCCCATTCCCCAAAGTGATATAAAAATAGTAAAGGCAGTCAATGGTAATTGATGAATTTCAATAACATAAATAATGGTTATAATTGCAATTGAAAGGGGAATATTTTCCACTTTGATTAATCTGACCCCTCTGGGCCACCATTCACAGAGGGATATGCAGGGAATGGATGATCAGGAAATGGCTGCAGAGGGCCAGGTCCGCCACCAGCTGTCCACTCTGCCCAGACTCTTCTCTGTCCGACCTTTCTCCTAGCCCGCCTGTCCCTACTGCAGAGCTGCTGCTGCTTCTCACCTCCCATTCAGGTCCCTGCAGGTGCCAAGTTCCTCGTGTGTGTGTGTGTGTGTGTGTGTGTGTGTGTGTGTGCATGTGTGCACACATGGGATGCTGGGGACTGCAGGGCCTCCACACTGTGCTCCATTCCCAGCCCTGCTTTACTTTGAGGCAGATTTTCCTAATGTTAAACTGCCTGGGCTGGCCTTGCATGTGGCATCCTCCTGCCTCAGCCTCTCAAGAGTTCCAGGATTCTAGGTGTGCAACAAAACACCCAGGTCTGACAGCAGCAGGTCTTGAAGCCAGGGTGGCAGGGACAGAGTCCAGGGGCCACAGACATCTCCAGTAAGTGTGGCCGGTCCTGATGCTGGAGAAGCTGGCTCAGATCTGGGCAGTCTGCTTCCCAGGCCCGTGTACTGGCAAATGCCATTTGTCACCTGTTTTCCCACTAAGTTCCATTCCAGTGGTGACCGGGTTTCCTTTTATGATTCTGCCTGGCAAAACCAGACAGCAGTCCCCCGTGCCCGCCCCCCCCCCACTCATCCTGGGAGAAAGTACTGGCTCTCGGCCAAACCGCAGGAATGGCTGGGAGACACGAGGCACAGAGAAAGTGAGAATTTAACGCTGGTCTTGCAAGACGGAGAGTCTGGTAGATGGGCACAGCCAGGCCAGGCGTTTTATTCCCCGTGTGCAGCTCCCTCCCCCAGGGCCTCATTGGCTGAGTCCTTTCGGATGCACACTCTCCCTGGACCGCACCTGGGTTTATCATTTCCTTATGAGATATTCTTCTCTCTCCTTTCTCTATTCACATCAACACTGTCTCTCCCAAGACTTTCTTAATAGCCTTTTTCTCCACAATATCCTATTTGCGAAGGGACCTTTCAGATGCCCGAGTTGTCACGTCCTGAAACTGTTAGGCGAGATTAACTGCTAATAATTTTCCACCCAGAGTGAGCAGATTTGTTGTGGAAAGGCACCACCTTGAGTTTGTTTTTCTTACAACTCACCGCTTACATTCTGTAACTGTTCTGAGGCACTGTACCTTCATATCCCACAGGAATGGTGACGGTCCCCAGATGCTGTTCACCATCCATCACTTCTGCTCTGATGTGGGAGGGGATAAGGTCAACCACCGTCATGATGTCCCCATTGGAGAATGACAGGTTATTTAGCGACCCTGGGAAGAAGCATTCGAGTGGAAAAATTAGCAAGAGCCGAAGTGATGCTCAAAGATCTGTATGAATCTAGTGTTTCTATTGGTAAACAAAAACTGTAAGCAAAACACGGTTATTCAGATTCATTAAATCTGATGCAGAAGTGAATTCTTTTCTAGAACCAGAGAAAAACTACTGTTTGGGTGGTTCTGTATCTTTTATAAAGAGGCAAAACTTTAGGTATGCCAGACTGCATGACTCATCCTAAAACACTTTGAGATGACTTTCCTTCAAGAAGGGACAGTCATGATTTGCCCTGTCACCTTGCCCTGGTCACACATGGCAGAGTCGGTGCTGGATGGCTTTCTGCCCCAATGGCTGATTTCCTTTAGACATGAAAAATGCGATACCATCCGGGGGATTTGTTTTTGTTATCATCAACCTAACAAAAGACAATTCTTCAGGATCACACTTATCTCTGTCTTAGATTTCTTATGTCAAACTGCAGTAATTTCTCAGCACAGTGAAAAATATTCACTGCTTCAGAGTAACATTTTTCCCCTTTTCTAGGCAATCACTAAACTTCAAATAGGCATTGGTAGATAGCTTCCCTCCACATACTCCTGTCAAATTATATATATACAAAAAGAAAAAAACAAAAGAACCCCATAAAATTTTCAACTAACAGGAAATATAACATACACTGCATTTAAAGCCAAGTAGAGAATCTTAAGATTGTATATTTCATTCTGCCCAGGGGTAAAGAAAATGTCTTAGTAAATGAATATATCTTCCATAAAGACAGCATTTTTCTCTCTTTTCTAATTCTCTACCATCTCAGGAAAGAGAAATTTCCCCTTGAAGTTATCGAAAAGAAATAAAGACAGGATTTTTTTAGGGAAATCATCCCAAAGGAGTGGCTCTTAATTCTTGGAGATAGACTCCCTTCCTTCACTTCGATTCCTGGAGCCCTGTAACCAGGAACGCTGAGCAAGCCCACAATCCTTCCAGGAGGTGACATAATTCCCTCCTGGAATCAGGTACCACTTCCCCTACCTGAAAAATAGTTTCCTTCGGTCACCTTCACTTTTCTAGGCAAAGAGTTTGGATTTAAGGAACTGATGTAAGAATTCCAAGTCTGATCCATGGTGTTGAAGGCGATTTCCCGTGGAGGACACAGCACTGGAAGGAAGGAAGTGAACTGCAGACAAAAACTGTCCCTTGCCAGCAGGTGAGAAGCCGGAGAGCACTGACCCTGAACGCCCTGATAGAAATAACAGGGAAGTAGATAGCTGCCCCGGCCAGGAGGAAAGGCCACGGTACAAGGATTCTCCTGCTCTGCTGGGAAATGTTCTCACCCAGCCCTTTGGGAGTGTCTTTCAGTTCGAAGACGCCCAAACCCTTAGGTGCAAACATTCATCCAGTTATTGACATGCAAGCCTGGGATGGGGTCCGTATTTCTGGCAGGCTGCCGGGCGACACTTGGGCCACTCTTCAAGAAGGTCCCAGAGATGTAAGCACTAGGGATGCTACCCTAGGGTGGTCCACAGGCCCACAGGGTCAGCTTCACCTGTGGGCTGGTTGGATGCGGCAGCGAGCCCAGCCCACCAGGCCAACCTGACACGTGGCAAGCTCTGACAGGTGGCACCTCTGAGGCTGAGGAGCTCCTTAGGGATGCAGAGTCTCAGGCTCCACTGGACTTTCTGAACCAGGGGCTTTCTTCCCTGCTCTGGAGCAGCAATGGCAGCCTCAAGCTCTTGGAGGTGACACCCTTCAAAGCTCAGAGCTGAGCTGCCCACACAGGTTCCTAGGGCCGCCTGCAGGGCCTCATGCCCCACCCACCACAGCCCCACCTGCCCTGCACCCTGCTCACTGGCCAGCTTTTCACCTTTCCTTCTGATACATTTTTTTTTATCTGATTAGAAGAATCACATGTATCTATTGTGGAGAATCAAAGGGTAAAGAAGGGGAGAAAAGTCTCCTCAAATCGCACCTCCTTCATTTATACTTCTGGTATTTTCTTCTAGTCGTTCCCTCTGTGCAATGTATTTGATATTGTTTTTTGCTTTAAAAGCACTTCATAAACATAATTTTAATTCCTATACTTAAATGGTAGACATTAATAAACTCTTTTGTACCGATGTGAGACATTGGGTCATTTAAATTTTTTTTTCTATACACGCAGGGAAGAGCTTTATATTAATTTCTTATTTCCTTTGGATAAAGTTCTATGAGTGTAATTACAGTAATTACTGTGCTAAATGATTTCCATGTTTGTAAGGCTTTTGTTATCTAATGCCAAGTCGCTTTTCCGAAAGTTTTAAAGAGTTGAAACTCATTATCTACAGAGTCCTCTCGTCTTCTCCAGCTTTGGGAACTACTGGCTTCAGGGCATTTGCTGAAAATGGTGAAGGACACATATCCGTACTGGCTACTTTTGTTTCTTTGTGTAGTGATGCACGCCCACTCATTTGCACACCCACTTATTTGCACACATGGTCTCCTTGTGATGGTACCTGTGAGTTTCCCAGATCCTGAGGCAACTTCATTCCACCCACATCTGCTCCTTAAAATCTTCTTCCATCTCAGGGCATCCAATGGCCATGGCTAGACCAGCCTTTCTCTACAGGGTGGCCTCAGGCCCAGGCTGCTCTGCACTGGGCCCACATCCACACTGGATGCTGGTCACAGGAAGCTAATTCTGCAGCCCAGCCTCGTGGTTCAGGCAGCCCTCTTTTGACTGTAATCCCCAGTGAGTCTCAGAAGGGACCCTAGTACATAAATTATGAGTGTGTGCATGGGGGTGCACACACTGACCAGAAAAGGATGCCTTTTCTAGAACCTGGTGATGCAGGCACGCAGACGTTGGTGGTGAGAAAAAAGGGCTTGCTTTCAGCAGTGACCTTACATAGCACCAACCTGCCGCACAGCTTCCTGGAGCCGAGAGTGCCGTCTGAGGGCTCTTGGTGAACATCCCTGGACATGAGATGGAAGCGCTTCCTCTTCCTGTCTCTCCTGATGCCAGTGACCTCTCTCTGCAGGACCCTTTCCATCGCTTGACATCTCAGCAAAACTCCCCCTTGTGATGGGTACTATAGTAGCTAAAGACCACCCAGCCACAGGTTTTGTCACCCAGGCATCTGCTCCCTGTGACTTCCTGCCATCCCCTGCTCCTTTCCTCCTGCAGCTGGGTTTCCCAGCTGACGGTGGCAGCTCTCGCCAGCCTGCTGTTGCTGGTGGACTGGAGTTGGTGTCCACCCACTTCTGCCTTAGGGAAGAAGTGCCTGTCACACCACAATACGTGCAGGTCCCTGCCTCGAGCCTGGGGAAGAGGACAGGAGAACAGCATAGGCCATTGACTTAGACAGAGAAAAGAACAGGCAAAGAGAAACAACTTGTCTCCAGTAACACCTGGAAAGATGGAGATGTCATGGCCATCTAAATGACAGTCACCTCAGAGAGGAACTCCATGACCGAGCTTCTTTTTGGTGTTAAAGATCATTAGAAATAAAAAGGCAGCTGGTGGTGCACACTTGCAGACCCTGGTATCTGTGAGCCATGCTTGAGATTACAATGGGGAGCTGATGGTGGTGAGGTGGATTTGGCGGCTGCTGCTGATATCCAAAAAAAACAAAGCAAGTCACTGGGTCTGTGTCTTTTCTTCTGTAAGTTTAGTTTCTAAACAAATAGCCAGACTGCTTATACCAACACTGGAAAGTCACATCGTTCCAGTGGCAACCTCTTTAATATTAGCTACACATTTCCTGGGGCAAGGGCAGGGAGAGGGGTCTCTTAGTCCATTTCCTGTGGTCATCACCAATTCCCTAAGACCAGCTGATTTATAAAGACATGTTTGGCTCAGGGTTTTGCAGGCTGAGGTCCCAGAAATGGTGCTGCCACCTTGCAAGGCCTTCTTGGTGCAACCTAACATGGCAGAAAACACAATATGGAGAGACAGCAAACCTGTCAGCTACAGCTCCTCCTGTCCTGTCGTTGCCATAGATACCATCCTGAGGATAGCATCCCCAAGGCAGCACCACCAAATGCTATCTGCAGGTGTAGAACTTTGGGATAAGTTCCAACGTGAGTTTTGGAGGGGACTTGTAACCATGGCAGGGCAGGCCATGGTGAGAGAGAGATGGGGAGAAAAAACTTTCCGGGGCCACAGAGCTGCAGTTCCCTGATCACTTGGAGTGTCTGCTTTGTTCTAGCCCCATGTCGGTGACATCAGGCTTCAGGGTGATGGCCATCAGCAGAAGGCTGAGAGGACAGCTCTCCACGTACATCTTTAGCAGCGAGCACAGAGAGCAGACACAAGCTTGAAATACAGACCTGTGTTGGAACAAGATGCAGAGAACCATCTCGACCACATAGAGCTTAAAAACAAAACAAGATCAAAAAGCTGAACTTGAAGCAGGCCAGGTTGCTGGGATGATTGTCTTAGCTGCTGCATGCGATTTTCTTTCTTTATGGGAGGCAACTTTCAACCAAGTAAATAAGATTCAAACTAATAAACGTGAACTTTGAGCCCTCTTGGTGGCTGAATCATATCAGGACAGGATTTGTGTAGGTGTGGACTTCCTGAATAGGCCAGAATTCAGTCCAAATTCTGAAGCTATTCTGAGCAACCCTGTTTTTCAACAAATGGTTTCCTTGGGGTTACACTACTGTCTTTGAAACTTTCAACACAGTCCAGAGTGTGTTTCACATATTGTAAGGTTTCAGCTTGACAATGAGAATTATCTGGAACCATCAGGTAAATTCTCCCTCACAAAACAGTGACACTAATTCCAACACCAAATTATATCAGAGCAAGTTACACTGATGCTGTGAAAGGCTTGTGGGTCACCGCGGCGTGGTAACTTTGTGGCATTTAAGTTTTCATCTTTGTGGCATTTCATCTTTGTGGCATTTAAGTTTTGCATAGACAAGCTGGTCAGCTTTTCTTGAAATGCAGAGAGCCGCAACAGGGGGCAGGCTAAGCCCTGACTCTGTCCTCAGGGGGACCCCAAACTCACCATGTCATGGCCCTGCAGAGCGCTCTTGGAGCCATGGTAATGGGCTTTGAGGAAGGACAGTGGGACAAGCGCTGTGTACCTGCAGCCCCTGGAACCACTGGCAGGCGGGATTTTACGGGTTTCCCCCACAATGGAAAGGCCTGACCAGTGGGCGCGCCTCACCTGTGCGGATGCAGACATCTGAACTGCAGAAGGCCCCAAGGACTTGCTGAGTTATCCCAGCAGACGGGCTCGCATTTCCCTCGGCCGATTTTCACTCCGATCCCAGAGGCTCTTCCGGAAACGGTCTTGGGCTGTCCTGACACCCGAGGAAGATCTCGGGCCTCATCCCTCATCATCTGGAGCTCTGGAGGAGGAAAAGGTGCCCTGTTTGTCCTCGGCCAACGTCCTCAGAGAGGGAACTGCCGCTCTGGCATTGCGTTCGCCTCCGCTTAGGACCCTCGGGGTTAGGTCTGGCAGAAAGCACGGCCGGCTCGCGGCTCTTCTGCCTTCGGTTTCCCTCTGCACGCCTCAAGGAGGCAGGACCTATTAGTGCACACGTGACCCGTTCTGGCCAATGAGATTGAGGGGCGTTGGGGGTGTGGCCGCCAGGAGCACAGTGGGGATAAACACGAGCTCTGCGTGCAGCCAAGCGCCACGTGGAGCCCCGAATCCCATCGATGCTGCTGACCAGCAAGACCGACGAAGCGCTTCTCATTGCCCGCCTTCCCGTCTGTGAAGGAAACAAAGAGTTCGTTAGCTCTTCATTGGGCGTCTCACTGTTTGGCGTAACACATCCTGTCTCGGGTCCTGACCCTCTCATGCGCGGCCTCGGATTAGGCCTTCTGCTGCCCTCCACATGGAGGAGCGTGGAGGAAGAGGACAGACGTGCAGCGGGTATCATCGGCTGTCACGCAGGCACAGGGCGAGATCACATGTAAAAGGGAAGAGCAAACAAAGAAAACATGTCAGTGATTTAAAAGTGAAAGTTAATAAAGAAAAAATAAAAGATCGCTAAATATATATGTCTATATTTCATTGTTAACACTTTATAATGACAGACACTTGGAAGTAATGAATGGTTCAGTGAAGGGTTGGGTACTTGCAAAAATGGACTTTTTAGAGGCTGCTGATGGTTTGACGTAGGCGTGTTGGTGAGTGTGTGCACGCGCGTGTGTATGCATCTGTATGTTATGGGGTTTCACAGGTGGCCCTCTGTATTTTTCCACACCTGTGGATTCAATCCACTGTAAATTAAAAATATTTGAAAAACATTGTGTCATTACTGAATGTCCACATAGCTTTTTTTGTCATCACTCCTTAAACACTGCAGTATAACAGGTAGCTGCACAGCCCTCTCATCGTGCTGGGTATTACAGTGATCTACAGGCGACTCCAAGTGTATGGAGAGCACACGCAGACTGCAAATACTGCACCATTCCATATAACCAACAGGAGCACCAAGGATTGGGGATTGGTAATACACATCGGGAGGCCAACACCCCAAGGATACCAAGGAACAGCGCTGTGTGAGTGTGTGTGTGTGTGTGTGTGTGTGTGTGTGTGTGACACACATAGTAGAACCTCACCTGTTTCTATGTGTGCAGAAAAAACAACCTCACTGACTGGCTGTGTGAAAAATGGTAACAGCTGTGCTGTGGTGTGATGGGTCATTTTCTTTTACTGTTCACTGTTCACTTAAATACTATAGTTCTGCTACCTTAGCCTGTACTAATTGTATAATATAGGAAAACTGAGAGGCAGCTCAAAGATGCCCTCTCCACATGGTCTCCCAGTGGTCAAACCCCTGAGGCTCAGCTCGGAATTTGGATGGGAAGGGCAGGGATCTCCCCAGGATAGGTCGGATGCTCAGACACCAGCTCCTCAGAACCTTCCTGCCAGGATGATGAGGGGTTTAGTCAGACTGCAAAACTGTGAGATAAAACTCCATTAGTTCCTTGCAGATACCAGGGTGTAAATGTAACATGTTAATACGTTATTATGGCTTCCCCATCCTGGCTGGGGCTCCAAAATCAAGATTATCAAATATTATAGGCCTTATGCTCTATTTTTACTACCTGAGCACCAGCAAATAAATTTAAATGGGAGGCTAAAAAGTACGAAGGTCGCTCTCTTACTGACTGAAATGAGAATCTGTTCTAAACTTTGAGAATGGTGTATCTCCTTCCAAGGCAAAAAATAGCTTAGAAATTTAGATTCATGTAGGAAGGCTTCTGCAAAGGTTGTAAAAAATAGCCTCTTTATGGAGCTGAACCCTCCCTGGGAAATTTTATCGATGAAGTTTAATGGGAACTAGTTTCAGCTGAAGTAGAATTTTTTCTCTCTGTCACTTTCCATTGGACCTAAGTACATATCTGTCTTTTTCTCATCTACTTCAAAACATGATTTTAAAATATTGAAGTAATATTTCTTTCCCTTCAAAGAATGCTTGTTCCAAGCAGGAACCTGCAGTACTTTTCTCCCCCAGCATTTAATCTGTAATTTTGCAGGTTACACTCATTTGCAGATTGGAGAAAGGGCCTTTTATTCTTCGCAAAGCGTTAAAGCAATTTAGATTAATGGGCCTTGGACTCTTTGATACCTGTTTTTAAGGCATTTTGAAATCTATGGAAGAAGATACCCTTTTATATGTGATAAGTAAAACTCTTGGCAGATGAAAGCCTTTTCTTTTCCTTTTTGTTTTTACACAAAAGAAATCTTCAGAACTGCAGAACAACTGCAGAGGCAAGAGAAAGCTTCCTGTGCAGGATGCTTCTCGGTCCTCCAGTGGGCAGGGACGCTCCCAGCTGTCCCAGGGAGTGGGCGATGCTGCAGGGCTCCCAGCTTCCAGCCAGGGCAGAGGAGCCTGGGCTCCCTGCTGGGAACTTGGGACCAAGCCTTGACCCCTGGGTGCCACTGCCGCTCCCTGGAACCCATGCAGCAGGCCTGATAGTGCCTCCTTTGTCACTGTCACTGCCCATAGGCCCACGGGGACCCTGCTTTCTGATGAGGATGACCCAGGCCTCCAGTAGAGGCTGCATAGAGCCCTGGTGCCATGGACAGGGGTGGACACTGCCATGTAGAGAAAGTTGGGGCTACTGCCAGCTACTCCCTGCTTTTTTTTTCTTTTTGAGACAGGGTCTCCCTATGCAATTCAGGCTGGTTTTGGCCTTACTTTGTAGCCCAGGCTGGTCTTGAACTTGCAAACAATTCTCCTGCCTCAGCTTCACAATTGCTGGGATCACAGGAGTGTGCCATCATGCCTGGCTTGCTCCCAGTTTTTGGCTAAAGACTTCTCAGACCTCATGGATGCCCTGTACAGGAAGGGAAGCTGAGGCAGGTCTTGCATGACTGGAGGCAGAGTTAGAGCTCAGAGTGTATGTGTGGGTGTCTGTATCTGTGTGCCTGACTGGAAGAAAGGACAGTTACTAAGGATGAGGAAGAAAGAGGCCAAGAAGTCACACAGTGTTTTCCCATACAGGTCCCAGACTCAGCCTTTCCCTGACTGCACAGATGCCCAGATGTGGGGAATTTCGATTTGGGGCCTCAGGGACAGAAGAAAAGATGCCATTAAAAACTGGGGACTGCAGGATAAAAGGCAAAAGTGAAGTCAGAGGGACCAGCAGCATTTAAAAGTCATGAGCACAAAGATGACCACAAGGACAAGTCTAGAAACCTTCCCGAGGACCAAAAGAAAATTGAAAAATTAAAAGCACAACAACAAGAAGAAAACGTCACATAGAAAAAGAGCTCATCATCATTAACATAATGTGATTCTAACATAAAATTATGTGACATAAAGAGGGCGAAAAGAAATATGGGTTAAAAAAACCCAAATTAAAAAACCCCAGGGGTAGACCACAGAGACCCCAGAGAAAGTAAGAGACCAAACTGCTGTGGCTCGAAGCTACCTTCTTGATGCTGTCTGTTGTGGGAGCCCTCGGAATCTGATACAATAATGATAATCGGTAAGTCAATATCCTGCTTAAAAGCGATGAAAGAGAAACCATGAGCCAGCTTAGAAAAGAAAAAAATGAGAGGTATAGAGGGACCAAAAAGTGAACTAGGAAATGGCAAAGCTGAAAGAACTTGACACAGAAGAAATTTAACCTCAAGACTATGAGAGTTCTCTGAAAATATATTTGAAAAGTTAGTAGAAATGAATAATTTCCTACAGAAGCACAATTTATCAAAATGCATCTGATTAGAAACAGAAAACATATAAACAGACCAATTTCTGTAGCAGAAAGGGAAGAAGTTATCAAAGAAATACCAAGTGCACACACACACACACCCACACATATGCACACACACGCACACGCATGGTTTCGTAGGATAATTCCAGCAAACCGTTAAATGTTAGATGACTCCTTGTGCTCCTCTGCTTGTTCTAAAGCATCATAAAAGGCCTTTGTAACCCTCCTTATGAAGCAAGCATAGTTAATGTCTAAAGCTGATTTTACATACTCAAAATGATGAAAATAACAGTCAAATGTCACTTACGAATATTGACGTCAATTTTCTAGATAACATTTTTGCAAACCATGTATTGTACTAACACCCTGACCCTAAAACATCTTTTAGGTCTATGAACTCTTTAGTGAGGAGGATTTGTCCTTTATTGAGTGACTCATCCATTGCTTGGGTGCCGTTTGTGTGGTGATAAAACTACTGTGCTTTCCAAGTAGAAACGAGGTCACGGGGCTGGGGCCCTGATCCCACTTGGCTGGTTGTTGTAATTGGAGTTTACAGGGGAACAGATTTAATACAGGAAACAATTCACAGGATTATTTTACAATATTCAACCCAAACAGTGAAATGTAATACAGTGCGGAGATCCATCCACACACTACAGACCCAAAAATCCAGCCGAGGGCCTGGGTCCCACGATTGTCTGGTTTGAGTCCAGCTGAAGACCTAGAGCCTACGACAATGTCTCATGCAAGTCTGTATCAAGAATGTGCGGCAACATGAGGTATCTATGTCAGCAGCTGAGGGATCTGTGCTGGAGCCAGAAAGCGACACTCAAGGTAAGGACTAGAGCTCCCTGAAGAGAACCACAGCCATCCTCAGCAACACTGAGGACCTAAGCTCCTCCAGTGATGAGAACACCCGAGTTCGTATCAGGAAAGCCAAAACGACAAGCTTCTCCAGGAGGATGAACAGCTCACCATCTTCCCCTCCAGTTCTGTTTTTTATGCTGTTGGCAACAATCCTCAGATGGGCCTTTTACACCCAGCACCACACTGGCTCCAGTCAGCTGGGTGTTACACGTTGACCATTAATTAATGCACCACACTGGTCCTTTTCGCAGAGGGGAAATTTGGAAACTGACTCATACAGGGAGATGGTGAGCAGGAAGGGGTTCTTAGCCCTGTGACCCTGAGCAGGTTACTTACTCTGAACTGCAGATTCCTAAAGAATAAAACCAAGAGGAAGAATCACGCGCCTTAGCCCCAGG